CCCTTTTCTGTTTTGAAGAATGGAAAATATCACCATAATCTTAAAAAAATTCCAGCTTCCTTACAAATATCCGGTGTGCTATACTTTCTGTGTGCTATACAAGGTATTTCAGGCAACTACCATAATTTTCATGTATGAAGAAGGCATAAATTCATTTACTACATATTTGTCCTGTAGTGTTTAATGTGTAGCCCTATGTTGCGCAATTATAATCTTCAGGTATTACTTTTATCACTGCAATCTGAAAGTCTTCGTATGTATCGTATGAATGTTTAATTCTTGGATTTCCACGGGAATTTCTGCTAACATTGTGGCAACCATGATGTCAGTGATCTTGTCTCTGCAAACCTTTCTATTGAACATGTTACTTGCTTGATTTACACTTTTCTCCAAGCAGCAGTGAGACATACTCTTGTTCTTCAGACAACTTTTGTGACAGAACATCTAAAACTCCGAAGTCGCTAAAAGTTTCAACAAACACAGTTTATGATTACAGAAGCTACGTTTTCCTTTACGAAAGAAAGCCGGGGTGTAATTGTCTGTAATACCGATTTCTCGAGAAAAAGAACGGATTATTGCTATGTCTTGGTTGTTATTCGTCAAAGCATGCTTTGCATACAGAAGACTTTCGTGTCGGCTTCTTCTTGGTGGTTCTACGCCAGATTGTAGAACCCCAGGTTGCTGACTGCCAGATTTTCGATTTCTCTTTGCCAAAACACAGTTTGCCGAATGCCAGTTTGCTGAATCAAAAACTACGAATCTCAGTTTGTTGAAACCCAATTTGCGCTGAAACCCACTTTGTGGAAAATAAAATAAAAGTAATAAAACATTAACTACAGCATAACATTCATGTTGGAACACTCTCTTACTATGTATTCGTATAAGAAATATCGGCTTATTAGTTAAATGATTCTTTTTCTTTGAATCTGTAAATCAATTAGCTATCAGAAAATAAAATTCAATTTAATAGGCCTCGCAGTTAAAACGTTTTATTAGCATACCTATGATAAATACATAAATTCATATTAAAAAAATATGAATTTAAAAGGAAATAAACAAACTAATAATAATCTACAATACACACATATCAATTGTGGCTCCAGAAATTTGTTGACAGGGGGTCTGACTCAAGGGGCCGACTAGAGCCTCGGTGGTCAGGGACCTGGCACAACAATCTTGATAAGGTTTGCAGAGGGAGTATTTTAGAAGGATACGATGCTTATCCTTAATTTCATTTCATTTTATTTTAACTGATAGCCATGCTTTCAAGTGTGTTTTTTACAGCTTTGTTGTCTTCGAATATTTTTCTTTTTAATTTGTACACAAATGGAGCTCCTTCCTTTCAAATGCACAGTATGCTGTACTTTTGTATTATACACATCT